AGAACCAGGAACTAGAAAATTTTTCCATGCTCACGGATTGAAAGTTGGCATTGTTAAAATGACCATCCTACCCAAAGTATTATACATACTCAGATGCAATAAAATCCCCATCAAAATTTTTCAAGAAAAAATAAATTCTACTTAAATTTACATGGAATCTAAGCTTCCTGAATAGCCAAAGATATTCTTAAAAAATGAATATTTCAAAGATATTCTTTGAAAATGGGAATTATTGCATTTCCTGGTTTTAAAATGTACTATAAATCCATAATAATAAAAATTGTGTGTCACTGAAATAAAGGCAGATTCTCAGACCAATATAATGGAAAGAAGTGTCCAGAGATAAGCCGTCAAATATTTGAACAGTTAATCTAGACAAAGGATCAAGATTCATGAAGTAAAGTAAGGAAATAATCTTTAGTAAGTGATACCACAAACTGGACAGTTAAATGTAAAAGGCGGTTATTCATAATGTTATCTTCAAGTGAAAACATAGTTCAATAAATATCTTTATTACAACTCTGCTGGAGCGATAGCACAGCGGTAGGGCGTTTGCCTTGCACTCAGCCAACATGGTCAACCCGAGTTCAATTCCTCCGCCCCTCTCGGAGAGCCCGGCAAGCTACCGAGAGTATCTCGCCCGCACGGCAGAGCTTGGCAAGCTCCCCGTGACGTATTCGATATGCCAAACACAGTAACAACAAAGTCTCCAATGGAGACGTTACTGGGCCCGCTTGAGCAAATCGATGATCAACGGGAGGGCATTTACATTTACATTACATTTACACAACTCTGCAGGATTCTTACTAGAAAACTCATCTGAACCCTTGAATAAATGTATGATCCAGAAAACCTGTGAGATACTTTGTGTTACTTTACACCACTACTCTTTAATTAAATCTAACCAATAATTATTTCAAGTTAGATCTGATTTTATAGCCTTACAAATTGCATTACTGTCCTGTAGCATTGTCCTCTCCTTGTTAATCGATTTGCTTGAGCGGGCCTAGTAATGTCTCCATTGTGAGACTTGTTACTGTGTTTGGCATATCGAATACATCACGGGTAGTCATGGGTAACTTGCCAGGCTTTTGCCGTTTGGGCGAGATGCAGGAGAGATTACTCTCGGTAGATTGCCGGGCTCTACGAGAGGGGCAGAGGAATCGAACCTGGGCCGGCTGGGTTGGCCAGGTCAGCCAAGTCAGCCATGTGCAAGGCAAATGCCCTACACATTGGGCTATCACTCCAGTCTTACAAATTCACAATCACGATCACGACCATCCTGTTATTTGTCAATTGCCTCAAGCAGGCCCCAGTAATGTCTCCTTCATCCTAGCCCTGAGATTTTTTTAAAAAGTGCCATATTCAAGGCTCTTTCAGGGTTAGGAGAATGAGACCCATCATTGTTACTGGTATTTGGCATATTGGGTACGCCACGGGGAGTTTGCCAGACTCTGCCGTGTGGGCAGGTTAAATTTGGTAGCCTGCCAGTTTGTCCAAAGTAGGAATGAGATAATTATTTTTTAAAAACTTTTAAGTTTACAGGTTTTTCTGAATTAGTGCAAAATTATTTTCTGAATTACTGAAAAATTATTTTCTGAATTCTAATGGATAAATAAGACCGAGCATCACACATGAATGAAGTCCCACAGAAAACAAATAATGCGGAACTTCGTGACCTTGGACTCTGGACTCAATGGAACCCAGGAAAAGAGATCCTCTGCCTGCTTCCCCCAGTCTCCGGTGATTGAGGGATCACACCCATAAGCCACCCCCTGTCCACACCAGATAATGTCCTTATCAGCCACCCTTCAGAACTCAGGATACTCCTCCCAGACGGGAGTGTAAAATGAGGCTCCCAGAACCATGCCACCGGATTCTTAACCAAGTTGTGGGGCAGGTGAGAGCCCTCACCACCCCAAGGGACCCAGCCCTGGCAGCCAACCTCCACTACACAACCACCGCCACACATCAGGCTGCTTTCTGGAAACATTATAAGAGACCTCCTACCCGTTCTCCACAAGTTACCACACCATATCTGATGAGGTTCAGACAGTAGGCAACAAATCATAGAGAAAAATATATGAATATATGCCTCTCGGAGAGCCTGGCAAGCTACCGAGAGTATCCCTCCCACACAGGCAGAGCCTGGCAAGCTCCCCGTGGTGTATTCAATATGTCAAGTACCGTAATGACAACAGGAGGCTCATTCCCCTGACCCTGAAAGAGCCTCCAATCATTGGGAAAAGAAGAGTAAGAAGAGGCTGCTAAAATCTCAGGTCTGGGAGGAATAGAGACGTTACTGGCTCCCTCTCGAGTAATTCAATGATCAATGGGATGACAGTGATACAGTGATACAGTGATATGGATGAACGATTATGCAGATATACCAATGATCGTGAGAATCAGACCAAAAAAACAAAAGTTGTGAAATTGGCATAACTTGATTTTCATGATGATTCAGATTTTTATTTTCATTTTTTATCTGCTCAAGCCCTAATATTTGAATTTACAGTCAATGACTAATCCTTACCTATAATTTTTGCATTGCTTTGAGAGTTGAATGAAATGCGAAGAATAAATGTTTTGTTCAAGAACATTACTTAGATGATTTATGTCACTTGTGATAGTCCACTGAGTGGGATGTATCTATATCTTTGTTTCTTATATGAGGAAGTTGAGAGATTTTTTGGCTGGAATAAGTTGCTAATAAACAAGAGAGCAAGAATTTGAAAGTACTGTATAATTACCAATACTCTAGTCAGTGTAGACACAAAAGTTACTAATGTGGTTGGGGAGAGGGAGGAAGAGAAGGAGAGAGAGGAAAGAGAAAGTGAGAGAGGGGAAGGGAGAGAAAGAGGAAAAAGAAAGTGAGAGAGAGGGAAAGAGTGAGAGAGACAGAGAGGGAGAGGGAGAGAGGCAGAGAGAGAGAGAGAAAGAGAGAGAGAGAGAGAGGGATAGGGCCACAGAGGCACTTGTGTTGAAATAATTGAAAATTCGTTGAACCATCCTAGGGAAGGGAAATAATGTTTGTTTGGGTTTTTTTTTTTGTCTAAGATCCTTTCCACCTGTATCATTTATACAATTATTGTTGTCACATACCATGACAGGTCTCTAAAATTGTCTTCATATTAACGTAAATATTAGAAACTTTGCACAGATCAGGAAGCTCCAAAGAGACAGTCTCCGGTGATTCCAACATCACAGATGAAATCCTTGAATAAGCAGAGACCAAGACTTCATCAGTGGGACATTCCATCAAAGTTCAAACACATCACAGTCTTTCCCTTCTTGATTTATAGAGCACTTACCCTTGCAAGGTCTTGGCTGCATCCTACAGAAAAGGAAAGATAAAAGGGACAAGACCACATGAAAATTTTATGACTAAACATGTATGTCTTATCTCTAAAATTGCTTCTTTTTTTAATTTAATTTTTTAAAATTTTGATTAGTGAAACACTATGAGGTACAGTTGTAGACTTACAAATTATTGTGCTTGGGTTTCAGTTATGCAATGATCAAGTACCGATCCCTCCACCAGTGCCCATTTTCCACCACCATGGGTCCCAGTATCCCTCCCACCCCCCCATCCCCCCAACCCCCCATCCCCCCCCCCCCCCCGCCTCTGTGGCAGGGCTTTTGTTCTCTCTCTCCTTTTGGCTGTTGTGGTTTGCAAAAGAGGCATTGAGTGGCAATCATGTTTGGTAGTCTACTTTCAGCATGCTTCTCCCATCGCTTCTTCAAAAAATAAACAAATGGTTTTAGCCCCAACTGATAAATTCCCAAGTCAGATTATTCCAATCTTCTTCCCTAGGCTCTCCACTGGTGGTGTGACTGGCAATGTCTGAGTGTGCTGTCTTCTGCTGAGAGCTGTGAAGAGCTGTCAAAACTGCGACCTTATCAACCTGTGAGCTGCTTAGGAAAAAGGGCCAAGAGTTTTTCCATGCTCTCTGAATGCAAGATTTGCAGCCATTGGCCAGATTTCTTTAGGGGAGTGTCTATTAGAGATTTCTTCTCAAGAAGATCATCATTAGCAAAATGTAACGTCCCAAATTAATTCTCGAAGGTGATAGCAGAGGGAGTCACAAGGCTGCTACATTCTCAGCCAGCAGTGCCCACCTCTAGTTCTCTTATGGGAGCTAGAACAAAGAATTCCACGCATTTTTACCATTATGGGCGTAGGGAGGATTGAGGAGGGGGAAACTGTGACAATGATGAGAGAAAGAAAAACTCTGGTGTACAATGTTGAGTTGGAACATTGTGTATATGTTGGAACATGAACATTACTGTAAATTATAGTGGTTCAAATAACTATACACACACACACACACACACACATGCACTCATGCGCACACACACGCACACACATGTGTGCAAATTCCAGGTGCTTATCCCATTAGAGTAGACTAAGTTAGATCTGTATACTAGTTGAAATAAAGCCACATAAAAAAAATTTTGATGCAAAGACTCATGAGCATGAATGAAAGGTTTCGCTCATTTAAATTGCTCACTTTATCCCCCACCAGTGGGTGGGAGCACACCCAGCTATGGTTAGTCCTACTCCTGGTTATGGAGTTAGGAATAATTCTTGACAGGGCTTGGGAAAACATATGTGGTGCCAGGGATTGAACGCAGATCAACTCTTGCAAGGCAAGCAACCAACCAAGCATTATCTCTCTAACCTTGGAGAGTCTTTCAGAAAACAATTTGAGAGATTTCTGTGCACATAAAACTAAAAGCTAATAAATAGTAGTAAAAAGATACCGCATGTTCCCTTAAAAATCAACCTTATTGTATACTTTTTGATTTATGTAAAGACATTCAACACATTGTACAAACACAGTGAATCCAGAAGAAGTGCAATTTCAAATTCCACACACTTACCTGACCTTGTGAAATGCTGCAGATACTCTGAAACGCCCCCAGGCTTTCTCGCCATTATCCTCTAAAGAACTCAGCACCAGTCACCTCCTTCCTTTCTCCCCAGCACACAGCCTCACCTGCATCAAATTCTGGGCCGATCCCTGACATTTGTTCTCTAGTTCCAGGATGTGGTTCTTGAGTTTCCTGCTCTGCATTTCCAGACTTGATTCTTGATCCTCCAGTTTCTTCAGAGTTTGCTCTTTCATTCCCTCCAGTTGACACAGACAAACCTGCTCCTCCTCATGGAGGATCACGTGAAATTTCTTAAAGAAAGACTGGATCTTGCTTCTATTAAGCTCTATATTCTCCTAGAATAAAGAAAATGTACTCAACAGGTATGGCGGGGTGAGGTGGTTGGGCACAAAATTTCATCTATTGATGAACTGACAAAATGCTGTCATTGAGGGTCAATGATTTAGAATGAAAAGGAACTTTTATGAGAGACTAGGCCATTTACCTCTCACATTTGTGGGGGTTCTCGGCATTTTAATTATGAACTGTTTCCTCCTACTTCCTAAGATCCCTAAAAGTTTCCTTTAAAAGTGTGCTTAAAGGGGCTGGAGCGATAGCACAGCAGGTAGGGTGTATTTGTCTTGCACGCGGCCAACTCACTTTCGATTCCCAGCATTCCATCTGGTCCCCCAAGCACCACCAGGAGTAATTCCTGAGTGCAGAGCCAAAAAAGTGTCCTTAAAGTGTCCCGAAAAGTGGGACCAAAGTGATAGTACAGCGGGTAGGGTGTTTGCCTTGCACACTGCTGACCCATGTTCCAACCTTGTTATCCCATATGGTTCCCCAAGCACTGCCAGGAGTAATTCCTGAATTCAGATCCAGGAGTAACCCCTGAGCATTGCTGGATGTGACCCAAAAAGCAAAAAACAAAAAGAGTTCATAAAAGAGTTCAAGTTTAATATCCATACACCCATACATGGAAATCTGGAGGAGCGATAGCACAGCGGGTAAGGCATTTGTCTTGCACGTGGCCGACCCGGGTTCTATTCCCAGCATTTTATATGGTCCCCTGAGCACTGTCAGGAGTAATTCCTGAGTGCATGAGCCAGGAGTAACCCCTGCGCAATGATGAGTTTGACCCAAGAAGAAAAAAAATGTTTGAGTAATATGAATCCCATTTGTAGTGATTGTGTTTTGTTAATATTTACAAAGATAGAGGTTTCTGAACATAAGTCAGACCTTGAACTGTGGTCAGTATGACAAAGAAATGAGACTGAGGCTTCAAACCAGGATGTTGCATTGAGATGTTTATGTTTTTATGTCCCTAAAGTATTATAATAATAAACAAATCATTTCGGCTTCTCTTGATGAAGGTTTAGGAACCCGAGAGAATTGTCATAAAAAGTTTAAAGATATTGGGGATAAGTAAAGTAAAAGTAAAGTAAAGGCCCTCCCGTTGATCGTCGATTTGCTCGAGCGGGCCCAGTAACGTCTCCATTGGAGACTTTGTTGTTACTGTGTCTGGCATATCGAATACTCTCGGTAGCTTGCCGGGCTCTCCGAGAGGGGCGGAGGAATCGAACTCAGGTCGGCCATGTTGGCCGCTTGTAAGGCGAACGCCCTACCCGCTGTGCTACCGCTCCAGCCCATTGGATCTTATATATTTACAAAACTAGGGGCATAAACACAAAAATCTTTTTTGTATATACACAACTAGGTGAATAAATTTGGGTACCATATAGTTAGTCTGGTTTAATGAGAATACACCATAATTTTGGCTATCCAATACTACTATACACCCAAGCTCTAGGAGAGAAATAATTTCACATCAACAAATTCTCTACCTTGAATTTAATTTTTTGTTCATTTGTGTCCAACGTCCAACGATTACATTGGTTTTCCAGTTTCTTCAGTTTGGTCACAGCTTCCTGGAACTTATCCTGAATAAAAATTGGTTAATTGGTTAGAATCTACTCAGTTTTCCAAGTCTTCTTTATGAACCATAAAGAGAATACCAGCCCTCCAAATGTAAGACTAATATTGAATACTTATCAAGTTCTTAACGTTCAGAGGAAATTTATTAAATGTTGCCTTACAGTTTTTATCTCCTTTAAAATCATGAGAATTTTGGAGTACTTTCAATATAATTTCTATCTTGTAGAAATTTAGGCTCATCTGCTAACTCATGGCCTAAGTCACTCTTACCCAGAGTGGATGGTACTGCACCCAGGGAGACAGTAGTATAATGGGGGTTAATTGCAGTTGGCAACATCTTGATTACAATTAGGGAAGTGTGATATTTTCTATGAATTCACTAGTAAACAGTAAATTTCCCTATGAACAGTGGGAGTAAACTTTCTGAAATAGGGATTGTGTATCAAATAAATGTTCATACCTATGGTCAAAGTTATTCTAAGTCCTACATTCTTTCTAGGGAAATATTGCTCAAGGAGCTAGATCATATTTTTCTAAATAATTTTATATGTTAAATCTTAAATGACAAATACCAAATTGTTGACATAAGTGGCACTTTGTTTATATTAGTATGAGTCAAGAAGTATAGTTAGTACCGCTAAGTTATTAGAAACAGTCCATAGAAAGCTGTTAGTTCAAAGGGCTAGAGCAATTACTTTGCATGCAAAGATCCAAAATTCAATCTTCAGACCCATATTCTCCTCTGAGTACCCTTGCTGTAGTCTTGGTGTCCCCCAACACTGCTAGACTCAAGCAGCACATATCACCAAGTCCTAAAACTGATCAGTGAGTCCCTCTGATCCTAGTATGGTAGAGAATAGCCCCCAATCCCAGAGCACAGGGCAAAAAGAAAAAGAAAAAAAAGGAAAATAGGGTAACTTAAATACTGCTTGAAGATGCTGTTGTGCAATCTTTAGTAGAGATTTAACTAAAATCTTTAGTAAAAACATTAAGCTTTCAGGTTATTTTGAAAAACAGTTTCTCACTGTTTCATAGAGTCTTTTAAGGTGAACCAACTTTCTATGTGATCAGTACTAGTCTCCTTGTTCTGTAGACAAAATAAATTATATAAAATCCAGTATGAGTATTAAGCATAGCCATTCATTTTTCTGTACCCCCAAGACAAGATTCTGTGAAACTTTTACAAAACACTGAGTTGTTCTTTCAGTCATGGACCAAGTGCTATTCCACTCTTGTGCATATTAATGCCCTTAAAGGTAAAGATTATTTCCTGGGTATCTGCATTGGAGAAATAGGTGAGAGTTATTATCCCAATTTACTGGGCAAGGGATCAAACCTAGGCTAGTCACATTCAAAGTGACTGCCTTACACTCTGTACTATCTTTCTCTCCTGCCCTATTTTCTGGTGGATTTGTTTGCTCTTTTCTTGTTAACTCTATACATCTTAGATAGTAAACCTTTGGAAGATGACTTTTGGGCAAATATTTTCTCCAAGAGTGTGGAGTGCCTTTTTTTAGCCATCATTTCTTTCACATTGCAGAAATTTATAAATTTTATGTAGTCCCTTATTTCTCTTTTCCCACATTTGCTTAGCCAATGACTTTGAGTTATTGAAGATGCTACTAGATACACTGTCATCAAAGGTTCTGCCTATGTATCCTTAATATCATTACGGATTTAGATGTGATATAAAAATCTCTTAATTAAGAATGAATTTTAACTCGATATAGCTAAAGTCACATACCACAAATCCACCAACTTTGTACTAAATGGTGAAAATTTGAAAAACTTCCCTCTACAATAAGACACAACATAAGGCTGCACTCTCTAATCATCATTATTCAACGTGCTATTAGAAGTCCTTGCCACAGCAATTAGACAAGAAAGATATTAAGGGGCCCCGTTTTAAAAAGAAGTTGAATTATCACAATTTGTAGATAACTTGATACTACACTTAGAAAGCCTAAAAATGCTACCAAAATACCTGAAACAATCAACGTCTACAGTAAAGCGGTGGGCTGCAAAATCAACATTCAGAATTGCATGGCATTGCTATATGCAAACAATAAAATAAACAGGGAATATTTTTAATTCCCATTCACAATTGTGTCCCAAAACATTAAGAATACACTGGAAATCAGCTTAAGAAAATATGTGAAAGACTTATACAAAGAAAACTATAAACCACTACTAAAAGAAATTTTAAAAGAGACAAGGACATGGAAACAAATTTCCTATTCGTAAATGGGAATAATTAACATTGTCACGACAGCAGTCCTACTTAAAACACTACATAGATTCAATTAACTCCCTATAAAATTACTTAGGACATTTGTTAGAGACATAAAAAAATGTTGTTCAAATTTAACATGGGAAGAGGGGAATGGGAAACTTCACCTTCCCTAACTTTAAATTATTCTTTAAATCTATACAGTATGGTACTCGAGCGGGCCCAGTAACATTGTGAGACTTGTTACTGTGTTTGGCATATCGAATACATCACGGGGGGCCCGCTCAAGCAAATCGATGAATAATGGGAGTACCGTGACCCATGACCCTGAAGTGTGGTACTGGAATACAGTCAGATTATCAAACCAAACAAATAGAATTGCAAGCCCAGAAATAGATCCTCTGGTACATGGACATCTCACTTTTGATAAAGGAGCTAAAAGTATGAAGTGAAACCTGGAAAATCTCTATAAGTGATTCTGGGAAAACTCATCAGTCACATATAAAAAGTGAACTCAGACTCCTCTCACAATGCACCAAAGACAATTCAAAATGATTCAAGACCTTAACATCAGATCTCTCTCCTCTGTTTCTTTAAACAATATATTCACACCTTGATACTAAGTTTTTCCAGTGCTAACATAAATAAATGCTCTATAATTGAAAAAACATTGTCTTTCTGAGATTCAGCTATAGTCAGACCTTTCCACACTCACGATTGAAGTCAGCCAGCATTTGTGCTGCTTGGGTAATGTTTGGTGTTATTAGAACTATGTCATCAGCAAAGCGGAGATGGTGTAGTTGCCAACCATCTATCTTAACTCCCATTCTTTTTCATTCCAGTCATCACATGATGTTCTCAAGGGTGGCTCTGAAGAGTTTCGGTGAAATTGTATCACCCTGCCGCACCCCTCTCTTGACATCGATGATCACTTCTTTGTAGAATGGTGAGATCCTGGTAGTGAATCTGTAATACAGCTCACAGAGGATCTTGATGTATTGAGCTTGAATGCGCTGATTGGCTAGGGCTTCAATGGCCGCTTCAGTCTCAACAGAATCAAAGACCTTCTTTAAATCAATGAACATTAGACAGAGCGGCATCTTGAACTCCCGAGAAACCTCAATAAGCTTGGTTATAGTGTGGATATGGTCGATGGTGCTGAATCCTTTTTGAAAACTGGCTTGTTCGTATGGTTGTCCTTCATCTAGAGGTCTGCAAATCCTATTCAGGATGACTCAAGTGAACAGCTTGTAGATGACAGACAATAGGTAGATTGGGTGATAGTTCCAACATCGTGGATGTCTCCCTTCTTGTGCAGTAGTAAACTCCTGCTGGTTTTACATTGGGACAGAACCTTGCATTCAGACAGGTAGTGTGTGAAGAGCCGAGCTAGCGTATTGATGAGTACTGACTGCAGATTTTTCAGGTGTTCAGGTCTGACCTTGTCTGGGCCGGGTGCTGTTCATTTCTTTACCGAGGAAATGGCGTCTTGGATTTCGGAAGGGAGAACATTGTGAATGACATACCCATCCTGTGGAATTTGGTATGTCAGCAGGTGAACATGGCTATCAAAGAGATCTGAGTAGAAGTCATGGATAATCTTCTTCATTGCCCTTCTGGAAGATGTGATAGATCCATCAGGACGTCAGAGGGCAGTCATCTTGGTCTTGTAGTTGGCGAAGGACAGACGGGCGTTTATGAGAAACAGCCTCATTCCTGACACTCCATTCGCTCTCAATGGAATGACCATCTCTGAATGCAACAGTTATATATACCTTGTCCAAGAAGTCAGCATGATGAATGACCTGGCCCTGAGTTACGCAGGAGGAAGAGAGCAATGTGGAACACCTTCAACAGCGTTGAAGAGATAGCTAAGAGGATGAAGAACGTCAGGCTCTAGGCACATCTCTTTGATTCTACTGTTCTTCCTGGATTAACATACACTTCAGAGACCTGGGCCCTATGCAAACAGAATGAGAACGCTATTCGGGACTTCCAAAGAGGAATTGAAAGAGCTATGCTTGGAGTATCACGTTTCACTCAAATGAGAGTAACAATCCGGAATTCCGACTTCCATCGACTATCAAGAATCAAAGACGCTGTCTCGTTTGCCAAGGCATCAAAAATCAGATGGGCTGGGCACATAATGAGATTTGGAAATGACCGCTGGACTAGAGCCATTACCAACTGGATTCCACGTGATGTCAAAAGACCATGTGGCCACCCACCTACCAGATGGTCAGATTTCTTCATCAAGATCCTGAATGATTGGTTTGAGGTTCTTCATGTTTCTAGAACGAACAGACGCCATTGGGCTACACTCGCACAAGACAGGGACAAATGGAGACGTTACTGGCACCCATTCGAGCAAATTGATGATTAACAGGAACTCAAGTCAAGTCAATTGAAAATTCTTTAGTAGACTGTCTTATTCTGGGTTAATATTTGAGCTCTAAATTTACAGCAGAATTTGGGGGTTTACTTACATTCCATAACATCAACTGCCATTCCCTCCCTAAACCTGGACTGGGTGTGTGTGAATCAGTAATCTCCTTTATCCAAGCCCTTGCCTGTGGGGTTACTCTGTCTAGGACACTCCCTCTTTTCTCTGCATTTTCACATGATTCATTTATCTTTTCTTCAAGAATCGTTTCTGTTCATCTTGCCCAAGTGTCACTCCCTCTCTTTGCTGACCCTCTCCAAAAAGAGAGCTCCTGCCACATTCTTGTTAGTTCATTATCCTACTAATCCTGGAATGAATACAGGATAATAACCCTTTAATTTAGTGTTTTTAGATTCAATCAAACAGTCATGTGGTTTTTAGAGCACATTTACAGGATGAAGCTGAAACATTTATGACTGATCGCAATGTAGGAAAAGATTATTAAAGCAAGAGAGATAAGAAAGAAGATAGTGACAATTCTCTTAGGATGTTGAGTTGGCTCCTGAATCATTTGGCACTCATTACAAATTGTTTATCAGAAGATTAACATAATTAATATTTTTTTCAGAATCACCATCTTAGGTTCCAATCTAAATTATCCCAGGGACAAAGTCAGCACTAGCTAAAGCACTCTGGATCACAAACGCACCTTGTAACTTTGGCATACATCTTCAACCAGAACTATGGTGTGCTCTTTATGCTGTGGTGTTCGTGCACAGCGCCAGCAGATGATCTGTTGATCGTCTACACAGAATAACTGGAGCAGCTCTCGATGTTCCTCACATAAACCTTCCTGCTCCACCTTCTTAATTGAACTGATGACGTTTTCCAGCTCTTTCACGGGCCGGATGCTCTCCTTTTGAAACTTTGACCTACACACAGGACAGTAGAATGTCTTCTTATTATAGAGTTGTTGGTTCGTCACGTTTTTCATTATGCAAGATTGACAATAGCTATGCCCACAGTCAATGCTCACGGGCTTAGTCATTATTTCTAGGCAGATGGAGCAGGTAGCATCCTCCTTCATTGTCTTGAAAAGTGCACCTGAAGCCATGACTTTCACCAGAAATTTTCAATATTGAATCTGGAGACAGAAATCAAGCAGACAGAATGTTCTGTGGTGATGGAAGTCTTTATCCAAGCCTCTGAAGAAATTGAGAATATGCACAAAATAAAGCTGTGTTGCTGTTAATTGAAATAGATAAAAGATATCAAGATTAGACCAAAAGACATCATTTGTACTAAGGAAAACACAAGCATAACTCTCCAAGATATGGGTCTCAAAGTTTTCAATTATTTTACTCCATAGGCAAACAGATAACAATAACAACAACCAAAAAAGAGACTACATCAAATTACAAATATTTAAATGGCCAAAGAAATGTGTTCTAAAATAAGAGATAACCAACTGAAAGTGAGAAAACAATTACATATTGGAATAAATAGCCAATGTCCAAGATACATAAAATACTCTCAAAGCTCTACAACAATGACCCCACCAAAACATCTGGAGAGCAAATGAATAGACACTTTCTTGAAGAAGCTACATGGGTGCCAGTAGGCATTTTCAAAAGTACTCACCATTACTTATTGTCAGGAAAATGCATATCAAAAATCACAATAAGATTATCATCTCACAGTAGTGAAATTGGCAAATTATATCAAAGGAGAGGCCAGGGCCAGTTTTGGCCAGTATGTGGTGAAAACAGAACACTCTTTCAGAGATAATGGGACTTTGTCAGATTCAGGAAATAGTGTAGATATTACTCAAAAACTTAATTACAGAGCTTCCATCTGACCCAGTTTTCTACTTCTTTTCATCACACCCTCAAAAGATCATCAATTTAAAAGAATAGATGTTTATCTGTATTTACTGCAGTGCTTAGTAGAATAACAAGAAAATGGAAATAGCACAAATGTCCAATGACATATTGATGAATAAAAGAAGTTGTGGCATAGATTTACAATGGAATATTATGTAGATATAAGAAAAGATGAAATCTTACACTTTGCAACAACTTGGATGGAACTGAAATGTACCATTGGTACACATGGTCATTGTTTTTGTTGTCGCAGAGCTTTGTGAGTAATTTATTAATCTTGGATACATAAACAAGGTAAGTTAGATAAGTACCAAAGTGGGAAGGGGTCTGGGAAGAAATGAAGTGGAATAGATATAACATAAGGACACTGGTGGAGGAAATTGGTCACTTTAGTAGTGCCAAGAAGTGGTGACAACACATCAAAATCCTGAAAGTTAGCATGATAAAAACCATGTTACCTAAATGACAATAAAAATAAGTGAAAATAATGTAGCTCTCTTATGAAATATGGTTGTTCTATCTACTGTGGTCATTTATATTTATATTAATTAAATTTTAAAAATCATGCTTAAATTTAGCTTCTCATTCACATTGCTGGATATATATAACATTCTAAATATAGAACATTCTAGTCCCCCCTGGAAAGAAAGATGGCGGCCACATGGGAGCCTTGTGGAGAGCAGGTACGAGCTGGGGGTGATGGGGCGACTAAAACCTCATGGGAAGAGGGGTGTTCCTGCCCGTCCTTCACGCCCTACCGAGGTCACCAGTTGCCCCCCACGAGCGGCTCTCGGGCACGACCATGACTCCAGAGCACAGAAACCAATCTCTTAATTATCTGACTCTCAGTAGAAATACTTCCAGGGTTAATAAGTAAAATAGCAGAAATCCAAAACAGCGCGGCCACGATAGTTTAATTCTTCTAAAAGCATCATTTAATTCTTGAACCCAGCTGTAGAATGCAAATCATTTCACAATGCTTTTTCAGCAGGTCTGATATGGGGGGGGGGGGGGTGAACTCTAAATAATAATGGTGCATCTTTTATCGAAACAATGAATCTAGTCAAAGTAGATAGAGTGTTAACTAGAATTCATCTGCCTCACAGGCATTGGGGGGGGTGGGGAGTGGGGGTTTATTGGGGTTCTTCATGGTGAAAAATAAGTATTGGTAAAGGAAAATGTGTTTGATATTTGCATGACCGAGACCTAAACCTGAAATCTTTGTAAATTTTCCCATTGTTATTAAATAAATAAATAAATTATTAAAATAAATAAATAAATATAGAACATTCAATTTTAGAAAGTTTTCCTGAACAAAGACTTACAGAAAGGGATGCAAGAAATAGTCTTCAGAAAAATTACAGCAAAACAGAGATAACAGAGAGGATGGAAAACAAGTTTTCACTGCAACAAACAATAAAATATTTAATTTAAGATATGTTCTTTAAAACTGGTAATAACTGTCATTAGGGCAGTCTGTAAAATTTAGGGGGGAAAGTGCAATAGGCAGCATCCAGGTGTCATGTGTTCGTGAGTATCAAAACATAAATTCAAGCTCCCCAGCTCATTAGATTTACTATTCTGAGATTGAGAGCAGTCCAAGATATGCCATACGATTTGTGGGAGGCAGGAGGCAGTGAGAAACTGGGCCTCTGTAGACTTATGATGAGGACCTAAGAGTCAAATTTAGGGAAAATAAAAAGAGCACGAGAGTTCTTCAGTCTTCCTTTCCTTCTTCTACTAAAGCTGTTCCAGAAATCTGATATTATTCTCCTTTTCTTTTTAAGCACCTTAATTCCCAGTAGTGTTCATGTGATATTGGTTTCAGGCATATAATGTTCCAGCACCAACTGCCTCTATCAGCGTCCACGACCATTCCCCACCATCCCAGTGTCCGGCCCCTCATCTCACACTCTCTTCCAAATCCATGGGAAGCTCAGTTCTATAAACCAGGTTTGAGGCTCTGCCGCCTTAGAGAATTTGTTATTTCTTTAGTCTGTTTCTTTGTGGGCTGGAGAAATAGCACAGCCGGTAGGGCATTTGCCTTGCTCACAGCTGACCTGGGATCAATTCCTCCCTCCCTCTCAGAGAGACCTGCAAAATAACAAGAGTATCTCACAACATGGCAAAGCCTGGAAAGCTCCCCATGGCATATTCGATACACCAAAAACAGTAACAAGCCTCACAGTGGAGACCTTACTGGTGTCTGCTCAAGCAAATCAATGAACAATGGGAAGACAGTCCTACAGTGCTATAGTTTTCTTATATCCCACATATGAGAGAGATCATTCTGTATCTGTTCCTCTGTTTTGCACTATTGAGAGTTTGTGAGAAGACTGAGGTAGAAGAAATCTACAGTGAGCTTTTGTTAACACACACACACACACACACACAGGTCTTGACCTCTCCAAATCAAATTTCACTTGAATTACCACTAACTTCCCCAATACAGAACACTTACTTTTAGTCTGTAGGTCTCCTAAGTCGCTGCCTCTTCTGAGTTCTGAGTTCTCAATAAGGAAGTTCACTTTAAATCAAACTCAGAAGTGCAAGTACCATGTGGGGTCAGAGTCCATCTAATGGAAAAAAGCTATCCCTGTGTGAATTCATAACTTTGAATACAGTTTTACAAAAAGCATTAAAGGAGCATGTTTAAAAGACATGACAAACTTCTCAATACTCTGCCTTTAAGTATGGCATTCACTCATGGGCACTGCAAAATACATTCACCACAGCTTCTCATTCATCTCTGCCCATTGCTGGGTTTCGTTTTCCTTCTTCCCATCCCTCAGAGCCAACCAGGACAGCTCAGGACCCAGGAATGCCCCAGCAGGAAGCGTTATCAGCTGAGAGCCACCAGAGTCCTGGGCCACCACTCTCTTCTGTGCTGTGTCAACAATCAATGACATCAGATAGGGAGTCCTCAGTGAGTCAGCACCAGCCTTTCCTGTTCAGTAAAAAGCAAATCACCTCCCCCACACAACCCAGAAACACCTTTTAACAGAAAACATAACTCAAAATAAATTCCTGCCATTTCGGCCCGTCTCAAGTATGAGGCACTTAAAGATACCTTGAACATGAAAGTTGTCTTATAATTAATAACTCTATGCAGTGTTCTAAGTGCTGATAGGGAGGGGCAGGAGAAATAGCTCAAAAAGGCCAATACATAATTTACATGCAGGAGGCTCAGCCGAGGCACTGCCCTTATTCCCCTAGTACTGCCAAGCAGTGTCCCTGAGCCCAAGCCAGGCTCTGCTCCTGAGCATTGCCAAGTGTGGACTTAAAAAAAAAAAAAAGCAAAATACCAAGAAATCAGTAAATTGCTGGTAGAGACACTAAAAGCAGATAGAAACATCAAACTCGACTATGAATGTGTGGACTGACTTGACCTTTCCAACAGAAGGAGCTAACCTCAGACCTGTGCGTGTGTGGGGGGGGGGGGGGGGGGGCAGGAACATGTGTGTGTGTGTGTGTGTGTGTGTGTGTATGTGTGTGTGTGTGTGTGTGTGTCTGCCCAGGGCACCAGATCTATGGGAGGAACTGGGTGCAGCTCAGGCCTCAGGTCCAGCAGCTCATGTCAGAGACCAAATTCAAAGGCAGGTTCTTATCCTCCCATCCCAATAAGGAGTCTTTCTTCACCTCTTTGCCCTCCTGGCTCCTCATATAGTCTCAATAAAGTCATGAAGATTTTTTTTTGGCTTTTTGAATCACACCTGGAGATGCACATGGGTTATCCTGACTTTAGACTCAGGAATTACTCCTGGCGGTGCTCAGGGGAACATATGTGCTGGGAATCGAACCCGGGTCAGCCACGTGCAAGGCAAACGCACTGCCCACTGTGCTATCGTTCCAGCTCCAAAGTCATGAAGATTTCTGGGTAAAGAAAATGTACTCATCTACAAGGGGAAAAAAGCCAGATCGGAAGTATGGGAAATCAGCCAATGAATATGAAATTTACTTCCTGTTCAAAAACAGTATATTGGGGATTTGGCAGGGGAAGTGGAAAGCAGGACCTCATAGTTGATCTCTGAGAACCAGTAATGCAACTAAAGTGGATGAAAATCCAAGATCTCAGAAATCAGCTCAGCTAGAGAAACAGTTTTGGACACAATCTATTAAAAGCAGATCTCGAGGTACAGCCCGCCCCCAAGGGCCTGGGTTCCTCTCTGGGCACGCGCAGCTAGAAACAGCCCCGAGACAGCCGGTTTTCAACCCCTGAGCCGCGTGGGAC